AGGCACACATGAGGGGTCCTGTCTGGGCCGCCGTCCGCGCCCAGTCGTCGGCCAGCGGCCCTCGGCCTGTCTTGATGGAGCGATACAGCCGGGGGTCCTCCTCCACTTTGTACTCGCCTGGGGCCACTGCATCCCGCACGATGTCGATGGTATCTGGGGTGGGGGAAACGTGGAGGGCAGCCTTTCACAGACAGGAAGCTGAGCCGGGGACAGACCCTGGGACTTCTCCAGGCCCACCCGCTGAGGCGGCGGGTGGCCTGGCTCACCCCGACCCCTGCTAATCCCAGGCCTCACCCAGGATACGCTGTCGCCTCTCAGCCCCACTCAGGTTGAACACGTTGGGTTGCTGTCCCCCATCAGGCAGGTAGTAGGTCTCTATTTCGATGGAGAACTTCTCGACAAAGGGGCAGGTGTAGCTGCACAGAGGGCGGAGCCGAGGGTTACTTCTGCGGCCACCGGAGCCATGCCTCTCGCGGCCACAGGCCCCTCCGGTCGCCCCACTCACCGGGTCCGCGTGTACGGATAAGCGTTCCAGGACTCCTCTTCCACCTGCAGGGCGGCCTTTGGCAGCAGGGCCCGGAACCAGCCTGGGATGTGGGAGCCCACGTGGTACACCTTGTGTGTGTACTGCCCGCTGCCGCCCGGCCCATCCGTGTAGGGCCGGTTGGCCAGGATCTCCACGCCGCTGCCCTCGCCACTCGATTCCTCCCGGCTCTTTTTCTGCAGCCCAGGGAACAGCAGAGCACAGAGCTCAACCCAGCTCATCCTCCGGGACCCCCAAGCCAGCCTGGCCCCCTGCACAGCTCCAGGGCCCCGGTCCCAGCCTTCTCAACTCCCTGGGATCAGGCTGACAACAAGCTCTGTCCCCCATGGGGACTCAGTGAGTCAAACAGTTACTGAGGGGCTACGGCAAGTCAAGCAACGTCCAAAATGATACTGCCTGGGATTTAGCGATGAAAAGAACAAAGATCTATGCCCTGGTGGAGCTGACACTTGAGTGGAGCGAGAGAGACAACATGTAAGGAGGTTGTGTGGTACAGTAAGGAGCTCTGGTGGTGCAGCAGTCAAACCCTCAGATGCTTGGGGATTCGAACCACCAGACCTCCAAGGGAGAAAGGTGGGGTGAGCTACTTCTGTCAATATGACAGCCTTGGAAACCTGGAGGGACAGTCCTGCTCTGTCCTCCGGGGTTGCTGTGAGTCAGAATCAGCTCAGTGACGAGGGGTCTGGTTTATGGGGTGTTAGAAGGTCATACGTGAAAGAAAGGAGCCTAAGAGTTGGGGATTGCAGGTTTAATCATGGTCGAGGGGGCCTGGTTGGGAAGAGGCAGGACCTGACGCTTGGAGGTGAGGGAGGGAGCCACGTGCAGACGTGGGCAGGCTGGGGGACCAGTGGTGGTCAGTGCTGGAGGCAGCGGAGAAGGAAGCCCTGCGAGGTCCTGAGGTGGGAGTGTGCCTGGTGGGCTCAAGTAGCAGCAAGGAGAGGTGAGGCTGGAATGAGGTGGGGCGCCACTGCCCTGTGAGGACCTGACCCTGGTCCCCCTGTCCCTGCAGCCGCAATCGCACTTCCTGCCACAACCCTCAAAGCATGAGAGTCTCTAGATCCTTCCTGATCACATCTCTGGACCGGGGACTTGGCCCACTCAAGTCCCCCAGACCTGATCCCAGCCTCTTCCCTCCTCAGACTCCAACCTCACAGTCTCAGGGCCATGGTCCCCTTGCTCTTGGCTCAGCCCCTCCCTCCTCTCTGGAGCCCTGCCTGCTCACCGCCCCCCCCCCCCCAGCTTTGGGGCCTGCCTCTCATCCCATCTCCCTGACCTCCTGCGGCTGCAGGACCCCACGCCCTGCCCAGCCCTCTTCTCCTGCTCCCCCGGCCCAGCCCCTGCCTCTCACTGTCGCCTGCTTCCCTGCCCCGAGGGGCTGCAGCCCCTGAAAGGATTAACGGAGATGATGCGTGGGCCGAGCGTCCAGCCGGGCTGGGCTGGGCACGTAGGGGGCAGGGAGCCACCGCTGGCCCTTCGGCCGCTGCCCTGCGGCCCCGACCCCCACATCGCTGACCCGGGGGCTGCGTCCTGCGGGAGGCCTGGCGTCCCGGGTGCGGCGCCCCCTGGGGCCCAGCCTGCGCGCTCCCGCCGCAGGTCCCTGGCCCCCTCTCCTGCCCTCACCTGGATCATGTAGAGCTGGGCCACCTGGTACTCGTCCAGGCTCATGGGCAGCAGAATGTGGTACTCCTTGATGAGCATCCTGGGCGCTGGGCCCGCGGCCTCCGCTCCGCCTGGCGCAGGCACCGCCGTCAGC